CTTGATAATAAGAATTTGATAGAGGAAGATTAAAAAAAATTGATAAAGGAAATGAATGTAAATTGCTACAATTTTATGAACTTGACCTATATTTATGGATGTGTTGTTGTTGTTAAGTTCCATCAAGTCAGCCCCGACCCATAGCGACTCTGTATAGGATTTACAAGGAGCAGCTGGTGAGCTTGAACCACCAACCTTGCAGTTCAAACGGCATTGCAGTCTGATGTATTAGCCCACAGCGCCACACCAGGACTCCATTTATGGATGTAGTAGCTCAAAAATACCAACAGAGAGGGAAGCAGTCTTCACATCAAGTATTAATGCTATCCCCTCTGTATACAGGGTAGATAGGGATGGGCAACTTAGACATTGGCTACCTAAAATCAGGGGGCAATAAAGGCACAAAGTGACTGGCTTACAAGTTTTCAAGAGAAAGTTTAGTTTTAGAGTGTGCGGGGGAAGATAGAGTCCCCATCTTGTCAAGAAGTATCTGGTGAAAAGAGATGGGGATAAGATTCTTATGATTTAATAGTGAGTAATTGTTCTGGTAGTGTAGTGGTTATGAATCAGGCTGAGAGCTGCAAGGTCAGCAGTTCAAAACTACCAGCTGCACAGCGGGAGAAAGATGAGGCTTTCTGCTCCCTGTAAAGTTTTACAGCCTTGAAAACCCTGTTCAGGGTCGCTATGGGTCGGAACCGACTCAACGGCACTTAACAACAACAACAATTATTATCAGGAGTCCTGGTGTGGCGCTGTGGGCTAATGAGTCAGACTGCAAAGCCGTATGAACTGCAAGGTTTACAGTTCAAGCTCACCAGCTGCTCCTCAGAAACCCTCACAGGTTCACTATAGGTTGGAATCGACTGGATGGCAATTTACAACAACAACAATTGTTATCATAATTAATTGCAACTGTTACAACTGTACAAGTAGAAGTTTTGTAACAAAAACAGGGGAGTAGCTAATCTTACAGTCAATGAAGAAGAGCATAAGCAGAATGCAGGACCTTACCCATAGAAGTAGTGACACTAGAGTTGGAGGCAGAGATGAGGACATAGAGAGAGGGAGCAACTGAGGGCTCTAGACTCATTGAAAGAGAGGGACTGAGTGATGACGGCCAGGAGGCACGCTTGCGGAAAGTTCCCTTTGGTTGTTTAAATTATTATATAATCCTGAGTATTTTTGTGCACATACTCCTTCTCCAGCATTAATGGGTCCAGCATTATAGTGAGGTTGGCCTAGGATCAGGCAGTGTTCCATTCTGCTGTGCATAAGGTTGCTATGAATCGGCACCCTCTCAGTGGCACCTAACAACACCACCACCCCCCAGAAAAAAAACACACAAAAAACCAGAAAGAATAGAAGGAAATATGGTTGCATGGTAATGCACGGAGGACATTGTAATCATTGCAATGAAATGATGGTGTAAAGCTAACGTTCTTCCATGCAAACTATCACTCAATTCATAATAAAAACTTAAAAGCAATAAAAATAAACCTGCACCTCTTTATTTATTTAAGGAATTCTTGGGTAGTATGAAGCTTTCTGCTCCTATAAAGAAACCCTGTGCAGGGTCACAATGAGTCGGAACCAACTCCACGGTATTTAACAACAAGAACAACAGTTATATACACAACTATCAGCTGAAAGGTTGTCAGTTCAAACCCACTCAGAGACACTTTGGAAGACAGGTCTGGTGACCTGCTTTGAAAAAGTCACAGCCTTGGAGAGGGTACCTGAAGAGCAGTTCTGCTCTGCACATGTGAAGTCATCATGAGTTAAAATCTATTCAACAACAACCCTTTATATTACCTTCAATTATTCTGTAGTTGAACATATATGAGAATCAATTACAAAGTATTGCTATGAGGGTTCCAGTTCATAACTATGTGGGTTTATTTCAAACAAAATGTATTTAACCATGTCTCTGCAATCAGTGGATGTTGCAGACTAGTTCCCTCAGTAATACACATAGAGTTCCTTTTAAGAAAAGGTCTGAACAAAACAGTGGCTTCCCTGAGAATTTCCTGGGCCAGTTCAATTCAAGGCAGAAAGGTCAGCTCAGAAGGTTATCATGACTGTTTGTTTGGGATGTCTTGATGCATTTTCCCAAAGGACATCACAAGGGCAATCATAAGGGTTGATTATGAAAATGTTTTAAGAAACTGGAAAATGACATTGGCAGTAAAAAGGACCCTGTTGCATGGGGTTATTATGAATCAAAATCAACTGAACACCACATAACAACAATACTAGTACATTCAGAAAAAAATTAAATGCCAAGATATTTTTCATAACAAAAATGCACTTGTTCATTCTTCAAGCCTAGCAAGGGCTCTATTATGGGAATTTAATTGGAAATCATACCTGATAAAGGAGCTCTGGTAGCGTAGTG